GAAGGACCAGATACCCTATAGAATCATTCTATCACCCTATTAGAGACCTGAAGGACCAGATACCCTATAGAATCATTCTGTTACTCCTTTTAGAGATCAGATCGGGATCAGAGACCTAAAATTCCGATGGGGACATCTCACTTTCCTGCGCTGCTTAATATATTCTTCCCTCAGATCAGTTCATACATGTGCAACATTTAGCCGTGGCCATTTTGTTTTCTGTAACAAACTAAGCAGTTTTAGGAAGCCCCTTTATTTCATCTTCCCTCTACATGTGCGCATCATGGCGAGCTTTGGCCATAATGGCAGCTTAGCTGAATCAGCCTCATGTTTCCTTATTTCCGCTGCAGTGGGAGGAACGGCGTGAGCGTGGTGAAGGTTTGGTAACGAGTGCAGAGCTGTAGGTTCACAGACGCAGCGGCTGGTTTCACCGGGGATGGAGCTGTAGCATCTTAGGCTGTAACGGATCGTTTAGCTGCTTATATTGACGCCTGTTGGAGGATCGGCGGTATCTGGATCAGTCCCCGCATCACTTTCCATTTTTTAAGGCTGGTTCCTCTGTTGAATCGACCAGAGATTAGCGTTTTAGCCAGAGATATAAATCTGGAATATTTTAATGGTTAAAGACATTTAATCTGGTAACCAATGGTTTGCTTGCCAAAAACTAAACTGTTCTCTAAGAGAAGAAGAAAAAAACCAAAGAGCGCTCAGCAGTGAGTCGCAAAGATGTTGTTCTTTGTATAAATCTGGAAACGTCCTCATTAGTAGCTAAAAATCACCATGAGGTCTTGAGAGAGAATTTTCAGCATTATAATAACCGGATTAGCGGGAATGGATGAGATGATGCGCTTTTCCCGCTGTTCCACAGGGAGTTTCAGGACCAAAGGAGGGAAACCAAAGGATGTATGATTAGTTCTGATGCTATCAGGTTCCTATCAGAAGCTGGAACATCAGAAACTAACAGGCTGACATCATCTCACTGAGATACTGATGATGGAGGACAGAACGACGGAGCTTTGGGACCTAATGGTAGCGGGGGCGGGGCGCCGCCATCAAGTCCTATTTAATACACGGTCCTCAGGTTCAAGGTTCCCCTCCACCAGTGGGAGGATCTGATTAGGGTTATGGTCTTTAGGTTTAGTTAAGGTTGTTTGTTCCTTTGTATGTTTTTGTGTTTTAAAGAACTTTTTTGGTAAAACTAGACCATCAAGTAAACAAATACCAGTGTTCAGACATCTCTACAGACTGCATTCTGGACTCATTATGTAGAAAAGACTGAAAGCAGAGCAGAAATAAGAACTTTGAGTTGCCTTAAAGAGACTTTGGTTCAGTTTTACTGAAAAATAACCTTTTTATTTGAGCTTTTGGGACTGAAACATGGTTTGATCAGGCTGACGCCTCAGCAGTTCAGCTGTTCTGTCATGGGACCCGGCGTCCGGGTCTCTGAGACCAGGGCCACCAGGTCAGGCCGTCTAAAGCGGGGAGGGGCCCCGTCTAAAGGGCCCCACTGTGGTGCTGTTTGTGTTTATTTCCAGCTAAACATGCAGTGTGAACTGAAAGCTAACGATGGCTGGTCTGCATCAGGGCCTCAGTGGCGTCTCCCTCGGCCTGCTTCCACCATTAATGTTTGTTCCTGTTCAGACGCAGCATGGCGGTCCTCTGTGGCGGCAGCATGGCGGTCCTCTGTGGCGGCAGCATGGCGGTCCTCTGTGGCGGCAGCATGGCGGTCCTCTGTGGCGGCAGCATGGCGGTCCTCTGTGGCGGCAGCATGGCGGTCCTCTGTGGCGGCAGCATGGCGGTCCTCTGTGGCGGCAGCATGGCGGTCCTCTGTGGCGGCAGCATGGCGGTCCTCTGTGGCGGCAGCATGGCGGTCCTCTGTGGCGGCAGCATGGCGGTCCTCTGTGGCGGCAGCATGGCGGTCCTCTGTGGCGGCAGCACGGCGCCGCCGGCCTCATTTGTTTACTGATTGTTTAGATCCTGACTCGGTGGCCATATTTGGCATCCAGCAGGTTTTATGCAAAGCAGCTCTAAGTGATTCCAGGGTGTGGATCTGATGCTCGCTCTCTCTCTCTCTCTCTCTCTCTCTGATGTTGGCTTCAGGCCGTTAGCTGCTATGACGGCCTCATCCTGAAGGCGGAGGGGAAGGTGGACCCTGACATCTTCTGCCGGCTCGGCCACTTCAACCTGCTGCTGGAGGACTATCCTAAAGGTCAGAGCTGCTCCATGTCCTCCATGTTCTACCTCCATAGCTGCCTCAGAAAGCAGAGATGTAGAATTTAAAATGTTTATTTCTGTTTTCCTTCCTCAGCGTTATCTGCTTACCAGAGGTACTTCAGTTTACAGTCGGATTACTGGAAGGTGAGTTTTATTCACTTTCTGAATGAGATGCTGTTTATCAGATGTGCTGCTTCACCTGCTTCAGTGTTTTTATCGATTAACCCCCCCCCCCCACTCAAAGCAGCCAGAGCCTGTGCTCCTGTCCATCTGTTACACCAGCAGGATCAAAGCATATTCACCGTCATGTCCGCCTTCATCCGTCAGCAGGAGGAGAGCTTTATTCCTCCTTTTTAGCAACAGTTAGCGAGTTGAATCAAATGTTTCCATCAAGCTCTTCTAGCAGAAAGCTCATTAATGAGAGAGGTGAGGGAGGAAACTTTAACTTTAGTGTTAAACTCCACTTCTCCTTGAAATAAATTGATACTAAACAGTTTCTAACTCTCCAAACTCACCTGATCGCCGGCGACTGATTTACAGCTTTAACAACTAATAACTCAGAAAATTCCAAAGCTTAGATTCTCCATAATTCAACCACCAAGTTCATTTTATGGACACAGCGAGCAGCAAAGCACAGTTAATACAGATATAGCAGCAAGTTAACATGGAAACAAACAAAGCAGCCAGAGCTACGTCCCTTTGAAGGCGTCCAGAAGCTGTTTTATAAATCCAGTCTTCAATTGTTTCTACTCCATTCATCCATAAGGGTCCACAGATTAAAAATAATCCAGCATATTAGTAATAAAAATATTCCATGAGGAGAAAATCGCCCATAATGTCTGGTTGTTGACATCAGAAAGGTTAGCTGGTCATAGCTAATGCTCCTCCTAATACTTATTCCCTCAGCTTTTTGTTTGTTATGGTTCTTTTCATGCCTACTAGACAGAAGCATGTTCAGACCATCTGCATCTTTATAGGATTCGATTTTAGTCGGGGACTGTCGCTGAAATCTCACTAGCGCCCCCTGCCTGTCAGTCAGTGACGCAGCGAGTAGAGCGATATTACGCCTCATAGATTCCTGCTGTTATTGGCTGAGACCATGAGGGCTGCTTGCCTTTATAGCCAATGAAATAGGTTTCAAATAAAGCTAGACATGGCTGGATTATATAAAGCTATTTTTGAAGTTTGGACGCTGATTTAGTTTTATTACAAAGCCTAAGGCCAGAAAACTAAACGAGATGCAGCTCAGAAAATCCACTGGGGCTGATTTTAGCTTTGAAAAGCAGCAGGTTCACTTTTTTTTTTTTCAATAGATTTTTATGTTATTGTAGGTTTATAAGTGTTACATTTCGTTATAAACACTGATTGTGAAAAAAGTGGATTCTGTGGGTCCAATAGTTTAGTAAAAGCATTTTTTTAGAAAGTAAAACAGATCTGCTTTGGGAGAAAATAAAAAATAAAATCTGTTAATCTGACGGAGAAAGAGTCAGTTTGGAGTCACACATCGCGTTTATAGTGAGCAGGACCGACTGGAGCAAAAACATTAAAATAGAAAAGTTTCCCCATGATGGGAGATCAGGAGGACAGAAACGGATAAAGTAGTGATCCTCCAGAATGAGGAGGAGCAGACAGAGCAGGTCAGCGCAGCGTATCTCTCTCTCCTCTTTATGGAAAAAAGAAAGAAAAACTGGATAAACTTCCAGATCTCTCTGAGAATCACCTCTCCGTCACCATGGAAACCGTCCCACAGTTTATTGCTGCAATTTTTTATTTCTTTTCTTTACACGTAGATTATCATTATGTTTTAAATAGATTAACATTCTCTATCTGTTCTGGTTCTAGATGCTGCACAGACTCATTAAGTAGAGCTTTGCTTTATAGAACGCACAGGTGGTTTTTCATTTATTTATTTATTTTACAGTAGGCTGACAGGAAGGGGGGGGGTGAGAGAAGCGGTTCTATGTCCGTAATCCATCCTGCAGGCAGCAGGATAATAAAAGCCAACATATTCTGCCGGCAGGTTTCTACATTTGAAGTTAATTTAGGCTTTAATAAACTGTTTCAGAGGAGTGATCATAGCGCTCTGCATCAGCAGTGCTGCGTCTGACTCCCTGCCAGCTCCCAGATCAGCTTCTCTCATTGGTTGATGTCCAGCAGCTAAAGTTACGTTCTCCAACCCCAGCAGCTGCTGCGTTTGCGGCGCGTCAACCGTTGGCTTTGCATGTCATCTCGCTGCTCCTGCTGCCTCTGCTGCTTGCGGCGTGAACGCAGCTTAAGGCCTCCATGCATGGGTCATGTGCGCTAACCACTGCGCCACCAAAGCTCACCCTGGTTTTTCATTATTTTTATCTTTTCATAATCTGTTCCAGTGAAATATGGGAAATAGTTTTAATGTGTTTATAGCAAAATAATCTGCATAGATCTGCTCACCCCGCCTAGTCGGAGCCCCTCTATACGCAGTCGGTGTGATGAGGAAAAAAATCGGATCAGAGATTAAAAAGTCGTACGCAGCCGATGTGTTCAGGGCTTAAATGGTTTTTAAGTTGCTGAAATGTTCTCCTGATAAACGCAGGCTTCCAGCAGAGACTCCGCATGGAGGGCCAGGCTCTCAGTGGGGCCGCCGCCATGCTGCTGGTCTCTGACCCAGTCAGTCCAGTTCTACCCCTCCCACTTTCATACTGGGATTTCCGCTGTAGCTACCAGATCTGCTGGGGTCCTGCTTCATGCCGGCGATGCTACGCTACACGATCTGCTGAACGTTGCCACATGATGTAAAGCATCATGGTTGCCAGGACAACGATAACGTCATGCAGCGTCAGCGTGCCGAGTCTGGAGCATCTGTAGCGTTAGCGCGTCTAATGACCGATGACGTTTGATCTGATTGATCACAAAACTGATAAACAAAGTAACTGTTAGACCCTGATATGAAGAGCTGGGTAGCGCTGTGGCTAGCTGTGCTAAGCAGCTAGCAGGTTAGCCTCTTTTAGCTCGCTCAGTTAGCCATATTAAGCTAGACTAATTTTGATTTAAAGTAGAATAATTGTTTTATTTTTAAGATGTCCTCTTCTGCCCTCAGAGCTGAATAAAAAATAAATTAAACTTTTAGTGTCTCCTGGTTAAATATCAGAGCTCAGTCTGTCTGAAGGCCTGCTTATCCTGCTGCAGCAGGCGGTCGCAGTGAGCCTGATGCAGACATTTTTGATTTATGCTCAATATTGAAGCGTGGTCTGTGCTACACGCTGTGGGTCTAGATACGGCCGAGGCGGCGAGGAAGTGGGGCGAGTTTAGTCCGACCACGGAGGGACATGAGGGCCAAAAAGAGCGGGGATCCAGGTGGAAAAAGGGTCCCAGCGTTGTCGCGCTCCTCGCTCTGCTAGCGGGTCAAACTTCACGAGTTTTTTTCCGCAACTGCGGTGATAAAAACACAACAAGCCGGCCTCCTGTCGGCGGCGCTGTCAGCAGAGGGGCGAGGATGTGTTTGCGTTCACGGCGAGAAACACGCAGATCACCTGGTTTCAAAGTATAAATCAGCCTTTAGAGGGCAGCACTTTGCTTCCAGTCTGACAATCATTGTTTTCTACTTTCAGCTGCTTTAGATCCCATGAAATGTGAGATATTAGCAAATATAGGGAATAATATGATGAGACTCCAAAAGAGATTTGATCCATAAGAAACGTGTGCGATACAGTTTGTCCGAGTGGAGTAGCCATATGATGAGGTCATAAAAAGGGGCGTGGCCCCGAGCAGATCCGGTACCTGCAGCGGTGCTGCTGTTACGGGGGGGGTTCAGTCCACCGTAAGGCCTGAGGACATAAACTGGTCACGCCATGAACGGTGGGAACAGTTTCAGCCTCTAATTCACTAAAACCGTGAATAAAAAGGAGCTTCTAGCCCCAGAAGATCAACATCAGAACATCATGGTCAGCTTCTGTTTCTATGGCGATTTACCAGAATAAACAAACTGTTCAGAGGAGCTAATCCCATTTAGATGAAAGGAGAAGGTTAATGAACATCCGCTGATCAGAGCAGATCCTTCCTCCTGCTGAGCCATGCAGCTCAGCTGGGATCCGGTGGTGGATGTTAGAAAAGCTCAGAGGTTCTGACCCAGATGTGTCCTGTGAACATTTTAACAGGCTGATCTAGTAGATGGAGGATTTTCTGATGATGTCTTGTTTGTTTTCCCAGAATGCTGCCTTTCTCTACGGCCTTGGAATGGTTTACTTCCATTACAGCGCCTTTCAGTGGTGAGTGGTTCCCCTGCTGAGCACACGCATCTTTTCCTTCTGTTTTCCTTCCTCTGCTAACCTGGATCACTGGAAACATCTGAGGATTTCTAAGCTTTGCTCCTCTGCTGTGAGGCTCCTTCTCTGCTCAGCAGATCTGCTAGTTTCACACAGATCCAGAGAAAACTGGACGGATGTTTACTGACCTGCCAACCCAGGCTGGTAACCAGTAGATCAGTCTGGACCTGCTGCTATCCAACATTCAGCAAACCTCTGAGCTGATTGGATGAAGCCACACCTAGAGCCCACCCACTGACATTTGGTTTTAGCCAATCAGGAGAGGTTCAAAGGCTTCCTGCTCTCCATGATGATGATGTTCAGCTTCGGCTCAGCAGCTCTCTTTGGTCTGAGCTGCATTCTGCCTCTGCTATGTTCAGACGGTCCAGGTTAAGGTCTGCCGTCCAGTAAAGTGAGTCCAGATGCTTCTGCTGCCTGCAGTCTGAGCGTAGCATTAAACCTTAGCGCTGCAGCCTGATTGGCTGAGGTGGAAGCGCGACAGGATGGATTCTCATGTGTTGGTGAACAAAGTGGGAGGGGTCAGATATTTACTGGGGTGGTCGTTCCTCTTGGCCGGTTGCTGCAGAATGTTCTGGTCCAAGGTGGCGCTGAGTGGCCTAGTGACACAGATGGAGGAGTCGTAGATTAAACGCGCTCTGCTGAAAGAAGCTAAAGAAGCTGCAGTCGACCCAACTAACCCGGCAATAACAGGTGGAGCTCAGGTGCTGAAAACCCTCCCCTCAGAGGGACAGCACGCTGGAACCGTCAGATTTCCCAACAGCTGCATCTGTGATGCGTTCAAGTGCTCCTCATACCTGTAACTGGGAGTGTAAATCAGCATGGCGATTCGATTCAGTATCAATTTCCTGATCCAACAATTGTATTATTTTTTATACTCAAGAATACGCCATGATACGATTTGATTAATTATTTTCACCTTACAGGCTAGACAATGTTTCAGATTTGAAATAAATCAATGACAGCTGTAATATCGTTATGCATTTTATTTGAGAAACAACAGCAAATAACAGAATTTCATTCCCTGAAATATAATAAAACCTCTGTGTTATAGAGACTGATCAAAAAATACTGCAGGCGGAAAGAGGGGCGTGGCTAAAGGAAAGGAGGTAGGAGGGCAAAGCAGGGTTAGCACCTCCGCAGCAGAGGAGTCAGCATGATGTCCAGGAGCCAATGGATAAAAATAGACCTTATCTTCAAATAACGGTTGATTAAAAACAGTTTGCATGTCATTTATTTCAGTTTTTAATATGTTGCTGTTTGCAGAGTGAAATGTAAACACTGGGTTGGGCTGTCCTTTCATGGCGACTTATTCATATATATGACAGTTAATAGACTTAAACCTGGATGAAACCCTGTTTAACTGATCTGCAGAGTTGATGTCTCCGTCTGCAGCCCTGCTGGTGGTCCTCTGCCCACAGCTTACGTCAGTCTGGGTCTAAGGCCAGAAGGCCAGCTGAGCTGTGGGACACCCCTTCACTCTGAACATGTGAAGGTCTTCACCTTTACCCAGTATTTAATCTATGAGGCCTAAGCTGAGGCCTAAGCTGAGGCCTAACGTTGGCCTAAGCTGAGGCCTAACGTTGGCCTAAGCTGAGGCCTAACGTTGGCCTAAGCTGAGGCCTAACGTTGGCCTAAGCTCAGGCCTAACGTTGGCCTAAGCTGAGGCCTAACGGTGGCCAGTGAGGCAAACGTAGCATTAGCTTCGTTAGCTTTCACCGTCTGAGCCAGGCTGCATCTAAAGCGAGGACGGCAGCGCGCTCATCTCTCTGTGCTGCTGTCTGAGGAGGAGGGGGCTGAAGGGGGAGGAGCTGGGGGTACTGAGTTCAGTCCTGGGACTGACATGCATTTGCTGCTGTTGCCATGGTGACACAGTAAGGGGGCTGAGCTGTTGAGCGTTGCTGAGGGCTGGGCAGGAAATGACTGGATTCATGCTGAGGTAGAAGAACCGGGTCCCAATCCCCGCTGTCCTCCTGGATAACGTTGATCTTCTCTGCTTGCTGAAAATGGCCTCATATTTACAGGCTTTCAGGCACAAACTGCTGCACTGCTTACATTTTTACATGTTCTAAATTCTATTCAGTTTATTTCTATAGCTCCAACTCACATCCTGTCATCTCAGGTCGATTTCCAGTCTTCCTTTCCTGGGTAACCAGGCCTTTCCTGTCTCAGCGCTACCTTAGCATAACCGAGATGGTTAGCATCTTTCTCTGATGGTTATACCGTACGGTAACTGGCAGTAAACACCTCCCTGCCTCAGGCTTTAGCTGCTTTCTAAACATATTTAAATGCTTTAGCTCATTCTGTTAAATACTCTGAGAGCTGAATCATGCGTCACATTTCAGTTTCTGTTTTTCTCTTTGTCTCTCAGGGCTATTAAGGCCTTCCAAGAGGTGCTCTACATCGACCCAACGTTTTCCCGAGCGAAAGAAATTCACCTGAGACTGGGACTCATGTTTAAGGTCAACACAGACTACGAGTCCAGCGTGAAGGTAACGTCTGTCAGCTGTTTGGTTCCCATGTTCCACAGGTTAGGAAGGATGTGTTGTCTTCTACACGTACTGCGTAGATCCGTCAACCCAGACCAGCATGGCTTGGCTGCAGAGTCATTATGAGACAGGAGAGGCTGGCTTTGCTGGACTCTGTTTTCACTGGTCTGCATTTGAATCGGAGTCTGACCATGGAATGATTTGATGTCTGTTGTTCTTCAGGATTAGTTTCCTTATTGAACCTCGGGAGGCGGATCTATGCAGACAGCAGGGAACTGGTTTAGACTCATGGTTGGGTTCTGATCCATGGCTTTGTTTTGGTCCGATTGCTCCGTCACAGGATGACTCTCTGAACTCCTCTTCAGACCAGGCTGTGGTTAACCTGCTCTTTCTATGCTTCGTAGCTCTGTGATTGGCTGATGAAGCACACCATCAGCCAATCACGCTCTGCTTTTTTTTCTTCCAATCAAAATATTCGTTCCAAATACTAATCCGGTTTAATGAGAAACCAGCTGGCTAGCTCAGGTCTTAAGTCACCCGTCCTTCAAACGGGAGCCTGGGTTTCTATCCCCACTGGGGGGGGGCATGAACTGCCAGGGTGGGTCCTCAGGCAAGACCCTTTACGCTAATGCCTGCTTTGTAAGTCGCCTGGATAAAAGTGTCTCTGAATATACTGAAAACAAGAGGTGCAGAGCGGGTGGAGGCAGATGGCGAGCCGGTTCATATAGGGATGGACATGCTGCCCGTTCACGCCGTAGAGAAGCCAGGATTCCTTCACATCCAAAATATGACCCACTGAGTCAATATGGAAGCCATTTGGTTCAGTTACTCATTTCTAACACGTAGAAAACGCGTCAATAACAGCTGTTTTGCGCATTGTTTCAATCTGTCACACATAGTTGACGCATTAAATACGCGTTGATTTCACGTGAATATGATCCATTCAGCCACTTTGAGCTGATGCTCGACGCTTATTTCCCATTGGCTGCTGAGCAGTAGAGTATGGCAGGCCATTTTGACATTTCTTAGCTTGAATTAATATGTAATCCAGATGCCTGAAATGCATTTCTTCCTCTATATATAGTTATAACTATTTTATGTTAAAAGAAAATTTTAGATAGGCGTTAAAACTGAGATATCTGGAGTTCTAATTTAACTTTTTATACAAGTAGTTGATATCTGTAACAATATTTCCACTAGCAGAAATATATTTTTGATGTCAAGAATTGGATTTCTGGATATCTGTAATGTTCATTTCTGATATCTAGCAGTTTTTATGAAGATAGGAAATTAGAGTTCATCCTGGTCACAATTCATTTTTAGATGTAGAATTTTTATTTTAGATAAAAGCCCAATACACATGAATGAGAAATGTCATTTTTAGTAAAAATTACATTTCAGATATCTGTAATGTTCATTTGGACCAATAAATGCATGTGAGACGTCTGGATTACATATTCAGTCAAGCTAATAAATGTCAAATTGGCCTGCCATACTCTACTGCTCAGCAGCCAATGGGAACAAAGCGATGAGCACCAGCTAGAATTGGACAAGTTGCTGAATGGATCATATTGACATGAAATCAACGCTTAGTTGACGCGCTCTTAAAGGGATAGTTCGGTATTTTTGACATGAATCTGTATGGCATCCCCATCACCAGTGTCATGCAATCACACTGACTTACCCCTTGCAGCGTCCTGTGAGCAGAGTTCTCGTCCAGCTTTGGTCAAGCCGAAAGTAGTCCGGCAGGTTTGCTAGA